TCTGGCTTAGGTGCTGGGACTGCACTTACCTGGAGATGCCCATGGGCAGACAAACAGCAAGACTAACCCTACGTGATGGGATAGATGAGAAGAGTCAAAAAATAAAAATAAAAATAAAAAAGTAAGAGAAGCCCAAGAAACAGGTGCAGGACAAACCAGATAGACTCGGTCAGAGGAAAGGATGAGGAAAAAAGAGTGCAAGTCCCAGCCAGCCTGCCTGCCTGCCAGCCAGCCGCAGCGCGACTCCCCTTGGCTCCTGGGCAGCCCACTTTGCAGACAGGGTCCCTTCTCCCCGTGTGTAACATAGTCTTTGTTCACATAGTGTTATGCATGATCCTTGTAAGGTGAAGAAGCCGTGGTGATGTACCATGCCATCCGCCCTATATATAAAGATAAATAAATATATATATATATATGTATGTAAGTTATAGCACTGAGGGCTCCGCGGCCCTGCTGGACCAAGCAAAACTAAGCCTTTTGGTTTGGGTAATATGTTTGTTTTTTATTTTCTTTTTTTTGTGGCTTGTCTTATGTCGTGAGAGCACAAGTGCCAGTCCGATTGCTTTGTATCACAGAATAGTGTTTTTAATTCATCAATGTTCTAGTTAATGTCTACCTCAGCACCTCCTCTTAGCCTGAGTCTAGGAGGTTGCCCGATTTTGTTTCTTCAATTGTATTGGTTCCTTTTTTGTACAAATCAATCTCTCTACCCTTCTCTTTTTTCCCCCTCCCTCCTCTCCCCCCTCCTCTCACCTCCCCTTCCCCCAGTCAAGCTTGCCAGTTCTTTCTGTCCACTCGAAGTTGTGTGCTCCCGGTTGCAGCTTTTCCGCACCTGCCTTCGTGTAGATTGATGCGTTTCTTTGTAATTTCGGTGTTTCTGACAAGACTTAAAAGGAAAAAAAAAAGGAAAAAATGAATTTACTGCTGCAGGTTTTTTTCTCTCTCCATGTGTCACTAAGTGAAGTTTGTGCCTTCTATAGCAAAGAGAATATTTTTTACATCCTACTAACAGTAGATTTTTTTGTAGTGAACATTTTTTGTATTTTTATTTATAAGTCTCATAAGAAAAATAGCAATGTTCAGTTGTATACCTTGAATCTGCAGTTAGCAAAGAATAAAGTTAATTCAGTTGTCTCTGGCTCAAAGTGTCCTTTTTAGAAAACTGTGCTTTTTATTTCTTCCTTTTCTGGGTGGGGAGCATTGTGGAGCAACTGAGATTCCTGTCTGGGGGTGAGGGAAGAGAAAGCTATGCGATACACACATTCAGGCTTAAAATTTTTCAACATGCTTATTTATTGGGGGGGGGTGCTTGCCATGGTGCACATCAGCACCTCAGCAGAGATCTGAGGACACCTTTCGGGAGTTGGTTCTCTCCTTCCACCATGTGGGTCCTGGGGATCAAACTCAAGTCCTCAGGATTGATGGACAAGTATCTTTACCACCAAGCCATCTCACCAGCCCCACATTCAGCCATTTTATGTGACACTTTCATGCCACATTTAGAAGCCACGTATCTATTCAATAACATTCTTACCTTTGAGGGTTAAGAAACTGTGTTAAATACATGAATATCATTTGACCTTGGAACAAGGTACTAAGTGGACATTCCTTTATTCAACAAAACTATTGCACTGGTGGCAAATTTCTGCACTAGGAATACAGCAAGGGACAAAACAGAAACCAGCACCTGTGGGCTTGGCGTGTGTTTGCAAGTGTGTGTGTGGCCTATATGGATCATGCAATGGGTATCTGGTGATCAAAACTTATGTCCAGATCAGATACCAAATCAGATTGTTTTCCCCTGGGCTCTAGAGGCAGGACTCACCCATCTTCCTCAAAGCTAAGCAAGTCTCAGAGTTGTCTCAACACCAACACAAAGCTTCTACTCAATTAAAGGACCTTGGGTCCATGGCAGCCAAGACCTACTGAAAACGAAGGTTTCAGAGCTGGAGGGTCTGCTTCATGGCAGAGTGCCTGCCTGGCATGTGCAAAACCCTGGGTTCTAGCCTTTTCCTCTGCTCTAAGTGGAAGTATCACTTCACTCATCTTAAACTGTAAATCCAGTTCTACCCAAATCCTAGATGCATGTTCCAGCATCCCTGCCTGTCTCCTACTGAGACCTGGGGATGGGGGCACTCATGACTTAAGTCATGGATGCCACAGTGGGTCGCTCCACTACTATGACAATGCATCAAACCTGGCCCCTAGCTTACTGGGGGGGGGTGGTCACCAGCATGTGTCCCTGTTCCTTTGCCCCGCAATTTAAAGAAAGGCTAGTGCTGGTGCATGCCTGTGTGTGTGTGTGTTCCTGTACTCCCAAGCTCTGGGTCTGGCTGGCTCTGGGGTTACTGAACTGATTGGGACTGAAATCACACTAACCCTAACAGCCCTCCCAGGAAGAGGCCCAGCCCAGGGGCAGGCATCGTCCCTCCTTCAGAGCCCCTGGCTTTTTAGTTCTCCTCCCTTCTCTTTTCTGCTCTATTCTTCCCTCCCATCATCCTCCGTCCAGTTTTGCTTCTCTCCTTCCCACCCCTCTCCATTCTTCTCTCCTCCTGACTCATTTCTGGGAGATTTCTTTTGCTGCTGTGCATCCATCCCACATTTTCTTTCTCCTCTTGGAAAATAATCCTTGGCCAAAAATGTGTATGTTTTGATTCGGATCTGTATCTGCGCCCCTCTCATCGCCCCTCCTCCAGCCCCCGCCCCTCCCCCTCTGCACACCACCCCGCCCTCAGGCCTTAGCTTTCGCTTGACAGATGGGAGGGCAGTGGGCACTCCCTCTTTAAAACAACATTTAATCGCCGTTTTCTGTTCTTGGACATCAAAGCTGGGGCTTAGGCGCTGCGCTGGGGTCGTGGCGGCGCGGGCTCTGGGGGAGAGGAGGTGAGTGAATAGGGGCTGGTTGAATGGGCTTTGTGTGACCGCCGGGGTCTGCCTGCTTTACATGCTCTTTGACCCAGATATGATCTCATGGAGAGAAAGGGGCCCGGGCCCGGCCAGCCTGAGAACGCTCCTCGGCCTGCCGCAGCCCCTCCTCCCTCCCTGGGCAGCCGGCCACAACTGCCCTCTGCCCCAGCCTGCAGCATGGGCAGCCTCCTCCAGGGCAGGGCCCGCCAAGGGGGCACGCGGCTGGGGTCAGCGGAGGGGACAGGCAGCTGGCCTGGGAAGATGCACCCTCCCCGGGTTGGAGGGATAGGGCTCCTCCTACTTATGTTCTCCAGGGAGGCAGCATGGAAGCCCCCCCAAACACACAGCACCCCTCACTGTCCAGAGTTCTGGGTCACCGCTGCTGGGGTTCTGGTTGAATCTTGATGGCTCTCCTTTCGGTGGTATTTGATGTCCCTTCCCTCCAGAGGGAGCAAAGATGAAGCCCCAGCCAGCAGACACTCCCGAAGACCCACAAGAGTGTGGTAAGTGGAAGGAGGAGGCAGACAAGCCAAGTCCTAGGATCGCTCCATCGGTTCGGCACACTTTCCTCTAGGCCTTCCCACCTGGCTGCCCACAGAGCCCTTTAGCCCCTGACCCCGGAAGAGGAGGAGACTGTAGATATCCCACCCTCTGCCCGTTCCTTCCCTCTCTTGTCCTGTGCCTTGCCTGCAGGCCAAGTGATTTTCCAAAAACTGGAAGCATCACCTCACTCCTTTGAGGAGTCCCTCATCACTCCTAGCTTAGAACTCAAGCTCTCCAACACAGGACTCTGAGACCTTTAGCCCTGCTTGATGCCCAGATCACCCCCACCCCTTGCTCTGGTCAACTTGGACACCACCATGGTTTTTTTCCCTGTGGCTTTTGTTGTGTCCTTCTCCAGCTGAGCACAGTATAGCGCAAATGCCAGCTCCTGCTTGGCGGGCTCAACTTCTCCAAATTCTTGTTTCAGTTCAAACTACCTGCTCAGTAAACCTTCCCTGACCACTGGTGAGTGACTTAGGGGCCCTATTGTGCAGACCCTCCCATCCTACCATTGGTACATTAGAATCACCTAAACTCTCAAATGTCCCCATTTCCAGATATTAAATTCCTTGATGCCCAGAACTGTGTATTCAATATCTTGGTGTTCCTAGAGCCTAACACTGCACATGGCAGGTATCCAGTAAATGTTTGGTGAGTACATAGATGTCAGAAAGGTAGAATGAAACAGAGAGGCAGTTAGCCCTCTGGTGCTGAAGATGCAGTTGTTAGAGAGAGGGAAATGTGCTAAGAAGTACCCCCTTATATGCCTACCCAGGAACCTCCACACAGCATCAAAGACAGGTATGCATGCTGGGTGGGGACTCAGCCTGGGCTCCAGCTTTCCTGCTCTGGATCTGTACTTGCTTCTAAGAGTACCTGAAAGGAGGAAGGTGAGGCAGGCTCAGGGCAGTGACACACCTGACCTGGCCTCTCTGGGGTAGGAGTGTTTGCGTGAAGACACCAGGTCCTTGGCCCACCGGGAGGCCCCAGTTTTCTCTATGCTTCTAGGCCCAGCCTTTCAGCTCTCCCCACTTCCAGCTCCTACCCTGTGAGCCAGCTAGCAGGCAGACTCTCTTGGGCTGCTTTTTCTGCACCCCAGGAGCTGCCTCAGTGAAAGTGAACTCGTTCATTTAAACCTGACTCCGCAGACCTACGGCCCCCTGCAGCGCTAATTACTCTGTAGTTCTAAACTGATTGCTGTACACTAAGCTTAAGCCCGCCTTTATTTATTTACTGACTACATTAATAGCAAAGGCGAGCTGCTTTCAGTGGCTCCGGACTGTACACGCTGGCTGTGCCCTGTTCCCTTACTCCCCAGGAGATGAAGTACCTGACACAGAACCCCTAAACTCACCATGAGTCCCCTGGACCAGAAATGAGAAAGTGTAATTGTATCTATACCTTACTCCTAACACACAGGGAGTCTCTGTCTTGACTCTTGTATAATGGAACCAGGCTGGGGTTGGGGAGGGAACCTTCCGTTTGCAGGATGCAATATGCCTCAATAGCTCATGTAGGGAGGTGCTGGCCATGGGCCTTACTTATTTTACAGGCTTTGGCTCCATAACTGTCAGGTGGTAAATAGTGGCTCTTTCTCTTTCCACAGTGTCTTTGTCAAAGGGAACAGCTTCCTCCCCATCCCCACTCTCCCAGGACTAATGGTCTCTGTTTAGTTGCCTGTTCCCCACAGTGCCCACCCCTTGTCACTAGGAAGGAGTTCCTCCCTGAGTTGAATCAGAACTTAACACCTCTCAGTGTTTTCTGCCCCATTCACATGCTTGGCCAGAATTTGCTGGAAGGGAACTTGAGTCCTTGTTTCATTCCTAGGAGTCCTCCAGGGCAGACCTGACTCCAGTCTCCCTACCCCAGGACTCACATGCCTGAGGAAATTCAGCAAGTGGTTCCTGTGAGATGGTGCCCTGCCTCTTTCCCACTGTGTGGGTTCAGAAGGCCTACGGCCATGCCACGGCAGTCACTGTTAGCTTCTCTGATGTCCTCAAGCCACTCAGGTAAAGCTGTACCCTAGCCTTGGGGCATAGCAATATTCTGGAAACCAGAAGGACCCTGCCAGGACCCATGGAGTCAAGCACCTGGCCTCTAACTTTAATTAGCACTAGCTTGGTGACTGCCATATTGGGCACCCTGAGGTAAAGGGGTGGGTGAGGTGTGGCAGGAAGAACGAGGGATTCAGCGTCAAAAGGACCTGGGTATGGCTTTGATTACATCACAAAGCCTTTCCAAGTTCCTCTTTCCTCAACTGTGGATGGAACAGCGGTTCAGGACAGTTGTTACATCAACTGGAGTAAAGATACCCAAATCAGCTTTCGAAGGCACAGTGGTGCTATGACAATGTAGGTTATAAGTAGGGGTAGTCTTGGATAGCTAGAAGGGGAACTGGTGGCCTAGATGGTCCTTTTTAGAGCAGAAGTCCACAGAGCCCCCACAGCCACTGCAGGCATAGTTGGGACTCTGTCTCCACCTAGTGGATATCAGCCAAAGGTGCGTCTACTGCTGGGGCATCTGGAAAATGACTGGCACTTTGTGTCTGCCCTGGTTTTTGTGGGTTACCTGCTATATGGGGCTTGAGTAGGGCTAGGTAATTGGGGACTGTGATTCACATTCATGCTGGAGGAGGACCATTCCAAAGTACTTGGTCGGGAGAGGTTAAGGGGGTCTTCCTGGAAGTCTTCCTGAGTCACTATTTCTTCATTCTTTTTTCCCCCTTTCCTCCCTTTGATCTACTGGCCATGTAGATCTCATTCTTCCCATCCCTCAAAGACTGATCCATTCTCAAACCTCAGGGAAGATCAGCCTTGGATAGACCTCAGCTCTTCAAAGCTTTTCTACCAAGAAAGACACAGGCAGGGCGAGGGAGGGTCATGGAAGTCGAATGGCCCCAGGCTGGGAGAGAGGACAGCAGGATGGCCTACTTCCTGAGTTCCAGAACCTTCAATAAACCCAGAATGGAAGTGGAGTTAGTTGCTGCTTTGATGTAGAACTGCCCTTCCAAGGTAGTAAGTAAGCCTGGTGCCTAGCCCCATCCCGCCCCATCTCTGGCTGGATAACACCCAAGTTCTCTGAGACAGGGACTCTCCCACACCTAGATACTTGGGTCTGCAGGAGATGGATCATCATGTCTCTCCCCTTGTTTCTTGGCACTTCTGACCATCTTGAATGGATGCTCTGACTTGGGGATGCCTCTCAGCACTACATTTCTAGCAGACTCTGGTCTGCTCTAAAAACCTCAGAGAAAAGCTTGGCTCTATATCACCTGTAGCTTTTTATTTTATGTTATTTTAGCTTTTAAAGCAATCTGGCTTTTTCACTTTCCACTGAACAGGAAGGGCTTCAGAATAGAGTGAACTTCGAGTGACACCAGGTGGACAGAAATAGGAAATGCATGCATGACTGTCTGGCTAATAGGAAGGCCTTCCCTAACTACTGGCCACTTGGGAAGAAAGGGAGTCACAGTGGCAGGGGGAGAAAGGCACATGGGTCCTCCCAAGCCTGATCTGACAGATGCTCACCTTGCACTCAGAAATCTCTTGCCAATTAACCTTCCTCCTTAACCCCAATCCCCACCCAACTCGGGCACCTGATCTTTCTCTTAATTCTCTTGACAGCACAGCTGAGGCCAAGCTAGGAAGTCTGAATTAGCTTTCTCTAGTCTCAAGGATAATAAAAGACAATAAACACCCAGAACAGCACAGCATGATGGTTTATAAGCCATGGTGGGTCTCTCACAGCACTCCTCACTGCCGGGTTCCCTACCTGCCTTCAGAGATGGGGAACTGTCTCTAACCCCTGCCATGGACAAACCCTACAAAGGAAGACCCCCTAGTGCTGTGGGCTTCCAGTGTCTCATGGATGAGTGTCTGTGCCCTGTCAAAGAGGAACCCCTCCTCTTGGGCTCTGCATCCTTTCCTTTCAGTCTTTCCAAGCTTTTGTCTCGGTACCTACCTCCTCCCTGTTACATCCACTGCTCCCTCTCCATTTGTTATTCCCATAAGCATCTAAACATCTCCCATTCCAACCACCTTTCCCCTGACCCAGTGTATCCCTTTGGCTCCTGACCCAAATTGCTTTCCACTTGCCTCCCTCCCTCCCTCCCTCCCTCCCTCCCTTCCTGTTTGTGGTATATGTCCTTGTTTGGGTGGGTACATGCATGTGTGCTTACACGTGCTTGTGCATGTGTGTATGTGAATAGGCTTTTAGGATCTCTCTGTCTCTCTCTCTGCCTCTGCCTCTCTGTCTCTCTCTCTCTCTCTCTCTCTCTGGTCTTTTTGAGACAGGGTCTCCCTGTAGCCGCAGCTGGCTTGGCACTTGCTATGTAGACCAGGCTGGGTTTGAACTCACAGAGATCAGATCTGCCTGCCTCTGCCTCCTGAGTGCTGGGATTAAAGGCGTGCATCATCATACCTGGCTTCTTCTTTTTTTTGAGACAGGGTCTTCCTGTACCTCCTAGTCTGACTTTAAATACACAGTCTTCAGCTTCATTGTTCTAGTACTGGAATTCAGGTGAACACCACCATGCCTGGCTTTGTTCTTTTCCTTTGGATAGTAAAATCTAGAGAGACGTGTCTGGACATTTTTATTAACATCGGTTTCTGATCTGAGCTTTATCTTTCAAGATGTTGAAATTGTCTTGTCAAGGTCACGAGGGGCTCTGACTTGCAAAGGGCCCATGAGGTGGCTCAGTAAGTAAAGATACTTGCTGAGTTTGATCCCTGGGACCCATAGGATGCAATTAGAGAACTAAGTCCTGAAAGCTATCCTCTGACTTTCACATACGTGCTGTGACACATGTCCCACTCCCACAAAATAAATAGTTTTTTAAAGTTGAGGGAAAAAAAGTACAGTGGCTGCTTCTGGGCAGCTTTCTACATACCCAACTGGCTTCTTCTGGAAATGTCCTCTAGATTTTTCTCTCTTTTGATGGCTGTTGCTCCTGTCTCTGACTACTGGCTGACTATTTCATCTTTCTCTGCCGGAAGTCTGTGTATTAGACATTCTCTGAATGGTTCCTTGACTTTCTTAATTCATCTGATGGTATTCCCTTCAGGCTGCCTCATCTATATGTCTTCCTTAACATGTACTAAACCAAACTCTCATCCACATTATCATCCATGCCTATCTCTTCCGCTGGATGTATAGGATAATGCTAACTTCTATAACAAGTAGACCCCAAAATACAGCATGGCTTACTTATAATAGAAGTTTAACTGTCCCAGGTGAATATTTATGGTTGCCAAGGCTAGCCTCTACATACTTAGGATCTGCTATCTCTAGAGGCCTTGTCATCTGCATCCATAGAGAATGGGGAGCAGAGTGTGGAGGAGGCCTACCTGCTTCTTGAAACGCCTGTCCTGTGATGACATGCATATTTTCTGCTTACATTTCATTGACTAGTTCTTAATCGTGTAGCCACAGCTCACTTCAAGGGGCTGGGGAGCTAGAAGCGCTTCCTCCCCATCTTTAGAGGAAGGAAAGATTGCATTTGGGTAGAGAGCTAGCGGTTTCTGTCATGATCTCTCCCTTCTGGTCACATCATGTCTATTTAACATTTACCTTCCGACAGGTATAGTTTACTTGCCCAAAAGAATGTTAACTCAAATTCCTTCAGGTCAATGCAAATGCCTCAAAATTCAGGACCTCTGACCAACATGTGCTTCCTCTATCACACGTGGCCTGAGTTCGTTGTGACATAAAAGTGAATTACCTGTACCTGGCCCCCACCATTGGGTAGCAGGGCTGTACAATGTGAAAATATGTAATAAAACCACTTTCTTCAGTGAAAAGTCCTCTTTCCTTCCTTGCTACGTAGGATTGCATTTCCCTTGTAGTCCGATATAGTCAGGTGACTGAGCTCTAACAGTCACACAAACAGGAGTCCTTGGCATCAACACCAGGCAGAGACTTTCTAGAGGCCCTGTATTGATTTGTCATAACAAATTTTCACATCCTAGCACGTAAACTCAAAGAAATGTATTCCTTTACAGTTTGGCGGTCAGAAACCCAACAGCAAGGTATTGACTGGGCCTCCATGCTCCCTCTGGGGGCTATAGGGGAAATATCTGTCTTATCTCTTCAAACGCTTGATGTTTCCTGATAGTCCTTGGAGAGTGGCAGCATCACTCCGACCTCTGTCCCTGTCTTGACATGGCCTTCTCCTTCCTTTTGTCTTTTATAAGGATGCTGTCCTTGGACTTAGGACCCACCTGAATTCAATATGATCTCATCCTGTTCCTTACCATTATTACATCTACAAAGACCCCATTTCCAAATCAAGTCACATTCTAAGAGTCCTGCAGGTACGAAAGGTAGTGTTACAACCCTTTTCCTGGTAAAAGTTCTCTTTCTGCAATGGGAAGAATGGGGCACATAGACGATTCTGGTCCGTGACTGTGGTACCCAAGGTCTTGTGGAGACCTCCTGTTTCAGTAATGGAGAAAGTTCTTTGTGAGACCCTGGATCTGCCTGTGAGAAATGTCTTTGTACAAGTTCTCTGGATCCCCTGGCTCCAGCCACTGGGAATTCCTTCCCTACCTGTATCTGAAGTGAATCCTGGGGTTAGGTCTCCATCACTACATCCCAGTGTCTATAACCAGGCTGATTCCTGCTTGTAAAAGTTTGGGAGACCAAGTGTGGAGTTTAAGCTCTGATAGTCAAAGCCTTTATTGGGCCAGATTCATGGATTTTGTGTCATGTACGTTCCTTAAATGCAGTCTCTAGCTCTGTTTGCTTTGAATTCATCCATTATACATTTAATTAATTAATTAATTTGTGTGGGTACATGTGTTTGCCTACACCACCACGACACACATATGGAGCGGTTAGAGGACAATTTGCAGGAGTTGGTTTTCTCCTTCTACCATGTGGGTCACAGGGATTGAACTCAGGTCATTAGGCTTGACTGCAAACACCTTTCCCCACTGAGCCATCTCACTGCCCCCACCCCAATTCACCACTTACGCCAGTAACCACACCTACAGTTCTTTTTTGG